TTGCAGAGTTGATTGCTACATACTCTATAACTGGAGTATAAAACAAGTAAAAAAGCAGTAGTCGACCCTGCCCGACTACGAGATCCCCAGAACCCTTCGAGCAACTGATATTTCAATAATTATTCGTATATGCACACATGGGCATACGCACGCACGCATAAACACGCATTGGTTGCAGTGGTGCCTTAGTATGGAAACTGAATTGTTTAATAACTTTTCTTGTGGATGGACTATCTTCATGAAACTTTTAGATTATGAATATTAGCTCAAGTGTCTAGTATTTGAAATACGCCTTTTACAAATTTTTACAAAAATCGAAATTCTATAAAGTACATATAAATCTACATTAAAAATTTGGTGGCTCTACCTTTAAAGATGTAGGAGATATAAATTTATTACTGGTTTTCGATAATGTTTTTAATCGATAACAAAATAATGGGACAAGTTATCGATATTTGAAATAGCTAAATCAATTCAGCTCGTCGCCCTGATCAAGAATATACATATATACTTTATGGGGTCTGCCACGCCGCCCTCTGCCTGTTACATGCATTTAACAAAGCCATTATACCCTGATTTCCCATTTTCAATGGGCTCAGGGTATAATTAGACTTTATCTTGAACTAGGTTCAAGATAATTAAATCTCAATAAAAGTCGCAAGATTATCCACCATAAGACTAATTTCATATGACTCATTTGAATTACTTAAAACCCAAGCATTAATTCCTAATTTCACTTATCAACGAAATGGAGCCGCTGCAGTCAGACACAGATTAAAGTCATCTCTTCGTTTGTCGACTCGATCCGAGCATTTTCAATCTGTAGTGCACAAGGCAAGGGGGTTACGATAGAAAGGGCGGCAAAAAAAGAGATACCGGAAATGTAACAGGAAACAAAATGACTTAATGCGCTGCAATTGCGCTTGCATGGTCAGTCATAGCCATGGGGTACGGGAAGCAGAGAGAGGTGTGCGGGCTAACGTTCCGGGTACGGAACACCGATGCACTTAAGCAGGCGGCGCACGTGGTGCTTGGGTCAGCGGAAAATGGCGAATGGCAAATGGCGAATGGCGAAGCGGCAAACGGTGAATAGCTTCATAATTGCAATGGAAACGAAATGGAAATGAATGTCCGCCACATGAGGCGGGCGTACCGCAAGGAAAATACGACGTTGCATTTATTGAGTAATCGAGTGATTTTTGCATTGAGCTACAATTTTTATTATGCTGCTTTAATGGCCCACCACCTGGATTATATGCTATATAATGCTTTGAATCGGGAATTTCCCTTAGTGCGTAAGATATGATTAAGATGTGCCTTCATCGCCACTGGATTCCGGTGAGGGTGTTGTCGTCGTTGTCGCCGTTCTAGGATTGAACTTAATGATGTTCTTTATTTTCGCTTCACTTATTTCCTTATTTGCATTCAACTGCTCCAAAAAGATTTCAGAATTACCTTTAGCATATTTTCCTGCTTTAACCAGGGATTTGCTGCTCCTCAAGATAGTTTGCAGATCGTTTTGTGCGTTGTTAAGCTTTACCTTTAAAAAGTTTACATTGGTCGTACAGCGACTGACGCTCATGGACCCTTCTAGACACCGGTACAATGTATTATTCAGCGTCCTAGCGTCTCTGGTGTAAATGTAAATTCTGTCCTGAACTGTCTTCTCAAAATTCCTTTTTTGCTGCTCGTAGTTGTTCAGAGTGCGCTCTAGATATACCGTAGAGAATTCGGTAAATAGTTTAATCGCATCGTTTGCCTGCCGTAGGCCAGCTGCATTGGTACTATTTCTTGCGGTATCGAGTTGGGTCGCTTTCCACGTCGACAATCCAGAAAGTGTTTCGGTAATCGTCTTGTTGAGATCCTCGGGAAGCTGGCTGTTTATGTCGGTGAGTGCAGCTTCGAGCTCAGCAGCAACTTTGTTCAGAGATTTTAATGCTGTCAGCCCCGTTGTCAGTGCCTGCGTGGGCTTTTCTTTTTTTTTTATTTCCTCTTCAAGAGCCGCAATATCGTCAGATAATTTTGCTGCTGATGCTGTTAAGTCACTAATAAATTTCTCAGATAATCCACTCGATGAAGATTCAGGTGAAGATTCCGGTGAAGATTCAGGTGAAGAGTCAGGTGAAGATTCAGCTGAAGAGTCAGGTGAAGATTCAGCTAAAGATTCAGGGGGAGATTCCGGTGAAGCATTTCGTCTTGTCCTCCAGATTTTCCCGACAAGACTCTTACCACCTTCAATCAGCTTGGATCCTATGTTTCCAAAGAAAGAGGGTTTTTCCAATAAATCATCGCCTTTGCTAGAAACTTCGGTGTCATCTTCGCTTGGGTCCGATACTGATTCGTTGGCAGAATGCGATAAGTGTTCATCAATAATTTCATCTAGGTCTCTTTCAGATTCAATCATATCATCAGCCAACTGCTTTAGGAGGGATGAAGTAGAAATACTCTCATACCAACTTGCTGTTATCAGTGATTTGCTGTTTTTCAGCACGGTTTCCAGTTTGCTTTTGCCAATGCTTAACTTTTCTACTGATTCCTTTACTTGGGCTGCGCATTGGACGGCACTAATGGGGCCGTACTGACATTGATTCATTTTGTCAATCAGCGCCGCAGCATCTTCTATATAGTTGATGTTGCTTAAGATCTGCTGCACAACCTCAATTTTTCTTAGCTCCATGTCACTCACGGCATCAATTAGATTCTGGGTAGAGCGTTTAAGAACCCCTTGAATGATGTTGGTCGCCTTCTCGACGCCGGCACCATTGGTCTTACTGTTCACACGCTGCAGTTGCTCTTCTGCCCACAGCAGCAATGCATTTAGAGTGTTATTTACCTTGCCCATGTCGTCCGATAGTTTATTGCTCACATCCAGGTATGCTGATTTTACGTTCAAGGCTGTCGAATAAAGTTCCTTCAGCGCTGCCAACCCACTAGTTAATGTCATTCTCTTCAGCGGATTCAATTCAACTTTACTCTTTATTTCAAGATCTGTAATTCTGCCCGAAATGTTGTCCAGTTGACTGGTTAATGAATCGGATATTGCGCCTGATATCTGTTTTCCAAACTGGGTTATATCATCGAGGAATTGGCCCTTCGCATCTTGTACATCTTGGAATAGGTCTTGAAGGCCAGCACCGTCTGTGCTTGCATTCAAAAGTTCTTCAAAGCGATTTTTGGCGCTTTCATGTAGCCTAGATAATAAATCGGCAAACACTAAAGATTCCACTGTTGTTTCATGGGATATATCAGATTCATTGGATGCTCCAGATGATTCTCCATTGGATGCTCCAGATGATTCTCCAGATGATCCTTCATTGGATGCTCCAGATGATTCTCCATTGGATGCTCCAGATGATGCTCCATTGGATGCTCCAGATGATCCTTCATTGGATGCTCCAGATGATCCTTCATTGGATGCTCCAGATGATTCTCCATTGGATAGTCCAGATGAGGCTTCATTGGATGCTCCAGATGATGCTCCATTGGATGCTCCAGATGATCCTTCATTGGATGCTCCAGATGATGCTCCAGATGATCCTTCATTGGATGCTCCAGATGATTCTCCATTGGATGCTCCAGATGATGCTTCATTGGATGCTCCAGATGATGCTCCATTGGATGCTCCAGATGATCCTTCATTGGACGCTCCAGATGATGCTCCATTGGATGCTCCAGATGATTCTCCATTGGATGCTCCAGATGATCCTTCATTGGATGCTCCAGATGATGCTTCATTGGATGCTCCAGATGATTCTCCATTGGATGCTCCAGATGATGCTCCATTGGATGCTCCAGATGATCCTTCATTGGATGCTCCAGATGATGCTTCATTGGATGCTCCAGATGATTCTCCATTGGATGCTCCAGATGATGCTCCATTGGATGCTCCAGATGATGCTCCATTGGATGCTCCAGATGATCCTTCATTGGATGCTCCAGATGATCCTTCATTGGATGCTCCAGATGATTCTCCATTGGATAGTCCAGATGAGGCTTCATTGGATGCTCCAGATGATGCTCCATTGGATGCTCCAGATGATCCTTCATTGGATGCTCCAGATGATGCTCCAGATGATCCTTCATTGGATGCTCCAGATGATTCTCCATTGGATGCTCCAGATGATGCTTCATTGGATGCTCCAGATGATGCTCCATTGGATGCTCCAGATGATCCTTCATTGGACGCTCCAGATGATGCTCCATTGGATGCTCCAGATGATTCTCCATTGGATGCTCCAGATGATCCTTCATTGGATGCTCCAGATGATGCTTCATTGGATGCTCCAGATGATTCTCCATTGGATGCTCCAGATGATGCTCCATTGGATGCTCCAGATGATCCTTCATTGGATGCTCCAGATGATGCTTCATTGGATGCTCCAGATGATTCTCCATTGGATGCTCCAGATGATGCTCCATTGGATGCTCCAGATGATTCTCCATTGGATGCTCCAGATGATTCTCCATTGGATGCTCCAGATGATCCTTCATTGGATGCTCCAGATGATGCTCCAGATGATCCTTCATTGGATGCTCCAGATGATTCTTCATTGGATGCTCCAGATGATGCTCCATTGGATGCTCCAGATGATCCTTCATTGGACGCTCCAGATGATGCTCCATTGGATGCTCCAGATGATTCTCCATTGGATGCTCCAGATGATCCTTCATTGGATGCTCCAGATGATTCTCCATTGAATGCTCCAGATGATGCTTCATTGGATGCTCCAGATGATGCTCCATTGGATGCTCCAGATGATCCTTCATTGGATGCTCCAGATGATTCTCCATTGGATGCTCCAGATGATCCTTCATTGGATGCTCCAGATGATTCTCCATTGAATGCTCCAGATGATGCTCCATTCGATGCTCCAGATGATTCTCCATTGGATGCTCCAGATGATTCTCCATTGGATGCTCCAGATGATTCTCCATTGGATGCTCCAGATGATTCTTCATTGGCTCCGGACGAGCCTCCGTTAGCATCAGGTCTGCTTGGATTTTGGCTAATGATGCCAACAAGATCCTTCTCGAATTTAAGTTTATTCTCGGCCAACTTTTTTGAAGAACGATTCGTTGGATACTGTAGCTTTTATTCCCGCTTCGACCAAATTGTTGCCTTCCTTCCGTAAATTCAGCAACTCAGTTTTGGCGTCACGTAGATTCTCTATCGATTCCTCAATCAGTGATCTGCATCTAAAGATGCTGAAACGACTGCAACTGTTCATGTCCTCAATAAGTTTATTGGCGAATTCGCTGTATTCGTGGATTTTGTCGTTCAACTTTTGTTCATACAATGATTTTTTAACATCGAGCTCCACCAGTACGGCATTTAGGTCCTCAGAGACGCTTGATATGAACTTTGTTATAATGTCTTGCGCTTGCTTCAGACCAATTTCATCGGAAGCTTTTTCCACACGATCCAGTTGTTCCTTACTCCAGCTTAGCACATCGTTCGGTATTTCACCTAGTTGATCGTTTACTTTCTTGGCTAGCTTCTGATTTATATCGAAGAGCTCCAGTTCAGTGGCTTCTGAGTTGAGCTGCTCAAGCAGTTCCAGTCCACTGCTCAGTGCCTTACGCTTTATAGGGTTCTTTTCAGAAGCAACGTCTCTTTTGAACCTCGTAATACTGGAAGTCAGGCTTTGCGATAAGTCTTTAATGCCTGTCGTTAACGATTCCGATATTCCATTGGATAGATCTTCCCCTAGCTGCGATGCATCCGCTAAGAAGTTTTCATTCGCTTTGTCCAGTCGGTCCAGAAGGTCCTTATCAATGGCAGCGCCATTCCGAGTGGCATCCCTTAGTCCTTCGATAATACTATTGCCGCCGTCTTTCAGATCGTCCCATATGTCATTAAATATCTCAAAACTGGGCTTACTCCAAATGCCCCTAGCGCCTAAGCACAGCGTCAGCAGCAGCAAAGTTAGCTTGGGCGACTGCATCTCGTTAGCTGAGCTTCCAGTTCATCGTCGACTTCGCCATTTCCGCGCCTTTTATAGCGCCAGCCGGACGGCAGTGCACGGATATTTGAGCACGGTATTTGCTCTCGTTCTATGATCAAATATTTGAGCAGCTGATACAACCGACTAACTAATATTTGCCCACTATTGTCCGCTTTGCACATAGACTGTTAGCGAAATTATGCGGATAGTGCGGAGCGTCAATGGGCGCACACATGCGGGCGAGTGTTGTGCAACAAAAAAAAAAAAAAAAACAAGTAAGAAGACTCTAGTCGAGACTGCTCGACTAGGAGATACCCTGAACCCTCTAATCTGATATTCTAATCACTCTGCGCTTCTTTTCGGCACACATACATACACACACAAGTATTAGAATGCGCTCTGCTAACTGCGCAGTAAGCAGCGACTGCGCTTGTGCTGCGCTGCAGTGTGGGCAACATTATAAGGATTTATTTGTTGAATATTTTAATTTCTAGATGTACAATCTTAATGAAACTTTCAGAACATAATCATAATATTTAAATGTATGTACATTCCAAAGCACAAGTCTCTACTACTTGAAATACGCCTTTTAAAAAGATGAGGGTGAGGGGGTGGATATAGGGGTGGGGGGTAAATTACAACAAAAATCGAAATTATATAAAATGCATATAAGTCTACATATAAAATTTGGAAGCTCTAGCCCTAAAGGTGTATGAGGTATAATTAAATAACTAGCTTTCGATAAGGTTTTTGATCGATAATAAATTATCGGGAGCAGTTATCGATATAAAAAGAAAAACTTGATATGCGCGTGATATACACGGACCTAGGAAAAAAAATTTCAAGCCTCTAGCTCTTATATCTTCTGAAATCGACGCGTTCATACATACGGACGGACGGACGGACGGACAGACAGACGGACAGGGCCAAATCGACTTAGCTCGTCGCCCTGATCAAGAATATATATACTTTGTGGGGTCTGCCACGCCTCCTTCTGCCTGTTACATACTTTTAACAAAACCATTATACCCTGATTTCCCATTTTCAATGGGTTCAGGGTATAAAAATTATAGTACAAAAATAAAAGATAAATAAAAATGCATTTAAACATATAAATGTATATGAGAAATCTGCAGTATTCAGTGAGAGCAATAGAAATTATACATATAGTTGTCGTAGGTATTATTGAATCAAGTTCTAATTAATCGCTGGAAAACGATTGGTAGCTAATCAAATGCGTTTTTATAGTTATTTAAGATGTTACATATTGTAAATTGAACAGCAAAGAAAATAATCTTGAATCTGCCTCTCTATCTCTCTTTTCCGTAACAGTAGCACCCGATTTTCTGGATTACTTTTAGAAATAATCGATTATGCTTTCATTTAATCACATATCCAGATGATTCTCCATTGGATGCTCCAGATGATTCTCCATTGGATGCTCCAGATGATGCTTCATTGGATGCTCCAGATGATGCTCCATTGGATGCTCCAGATGATCCTTCATTGGACGCTCCAGATGATGCTCCATTGGATGCTCCAGATGATTCTCCATTGGATGCTCCAGATGATCCTTCATTGGATGCTCCAGATGATTCTCCATTGAATGCTCCAGATGATGCTTCATTGGATGCTCCAGATGATGCTCCATTGGATGCTCCAGATGATCCTTCATTGGATGCTCCAGATGATTCTCCATTGGATGCTCCAGATGATCCTTCATTGGATGCTCCAGATGATTCTCCATTGAATGCTCCAGATGATGCTCCATTCGATGCTCCAGATGATTCTCCATTGGATGCTCCAGATGATTCTCCATTGGATGCTCCAGATGATTCTCCATTGGATGCTCCAGATGATTCTTCATTGGCTCCGGACGAGCCTCCGTTAGCATCAGGTCTGCTTGGATTTTGGCTAATGATGCCAACAAGATCCTTCTCGAATTTAAGTTTATTCTCGGCCAACTTTTTGAAGAACGATTCGTTGGATACTGTAGCTTTTATTCCCGCTTCGACCAAATTGTTGCCTTCCTTCCGTAAATTCAGCAACTCAGTTTTGGCGTCACGTAGATTCTCTATCGATTCCTCAATCAGTGATCTGCATCTAAAGATGCTGAAACGACTGCAACTGTTCATGTCCTCAATAAGTTTATTGGCGAATTCGCTGTATTCGTGGATTTTGTCGTTCAACTTTTGTTCATACAATGATTTTTTAACATCGAGCTCCACCAGTACGGCATTTAGGTCCTCAGAGACGCTTGATATGAACTTTGTTATAATGTCTTGCGCTTGCTTCAGACCAATTTCATCGGAAGCTTTTTCCACACGATCCAGTTGTTCCTTACTCCAGCTTAGCACATCGTTCGGTATTTCACCTAGTTGATCGTTTACTTTCTTGGCTAGCTTCTGATTTATATCGAAGAGCTCCAGTTCAGTGGCTTCTGAGTTGAGCTGCTCAAGCAGTTCCAGTCCACTGCTCAGTGCCTTACGCTTTATAGGGTTCTTTTCAGAAGCAACGTCTCTTTTGAACCTCGTAATACTGGAAGTCAGGCTTTGCGATAAGTCTTTAATGCCTGTCGTTAACGATTCCGATATTCCATTGGATAGATCTTCCCCTAGCTGCGATGCATCCGCTAAGAAGTTTTCATTCGCTTTATCCAGTCGGTCCAGAAGGTCCTTATCAATGGCAGCGCCATCCCGAGTGGCATCCCTTAGTCCTTCGATAATACTATTGCCGCCGTCTTTCAGATCGTCCCATATGTCATTAAATATCTCCAAACTGGGCTTACTCCAAATGCCCCTAGCGCCTAAGCACAGCGTCAGCAGCAGCAAAGTTAGCTTGGGCGACTGCATCTCGTTAGCTGAGCTTCCAGTTCATCGTCGACTTCGCCATTTCCGCGCCTTTTATAGCGCCAGCCGGACGGCAGTGCACGGATATTTGAGCACGGTATTTGCTCTCGTTCTATGATCAAATATTTGAGCAGCTGATACAACCGACTCACTAATATTTGCCCACTATTGTCCGCTTTGCACATAGACTGTTAGCGAAATTATGCGGATAGTGCGGAGCGTCAATGGGCGCACACATGCGGGCGAGTGTTGTGCAACAAAAAAAAAAAAAAAAAATTATAGTACAAAAATAAAAGATAAATAAAAATGCTTTTAAACATATATATGTATATGAGAAATCTGCAGTATTCAGTGAGAGCAATAGAAATTATGCATATAGTTGTCGTAGGTATTTGAACTAGTGATGGCATAACATTTATTAATCGATTATTGATTCATGTTCTAATTAATCGCTGAAAAACGATTGGTAGCTAATCAAATGCGTTTTTATAGTTATTTAAGATGTTGCATATTGTAAATTGAACAGCAAAGAAAATAATCTTGAATCTGCCTCTCTATCTCTCTTTTCCGTAACAGTAGCACCCGATTTTCTGGATTACTTTTAGAAATAATCGATTATGCTTTCATTTAATCACAGTCCATATTGCGATACAATTAAATCGCCAATGGAAGCAAAATAATTGATTATTGTGTATCATGATATCAACTTAATGCACAATACACAATACGTCATCACTTCAGCTTTGGTAAATCTCTCTGAGGTAGCTCAACTGTCATATGGGCACTTTAGAGTTACAGCCTAAGGAGAATTGCCAGACATATGTACTTTCTGGCTTCGGTCAGGGAAAGCTTAAGCCGGTGGAAATTTGTAGGAAATTTGATTGCACATCACATTCATTTACTGTGTCATCGTCTGTCGACAAAGTTCATAATTTGTGTTGCATGAATTGATTTAATTTGGCCAATTTAAGAATAATTCCGATGCGAGTCATCCCACACATGCGACCGACAAAGGCAGATACAACCTTTGCATTTCATTTCATTTAGCAATTTAAGGCACACAAGGGGCGACCCTTGCTTTACTTTGTGCATAAATAACTAAATTGGTATGCAAGGCATTCGGCAAAGCCTTTATGCATGCGAATAGCTTGTACTTTAAATACAAATAGGGCAATGATGGGCTGCCTAATACCCTAGCTCATGCATATTAAAAAAAAATTGGAATAATGCTGTGATGCAGCTCATTGCAATGGATGATATTGATATTTGTTGTCACTCGTTGGATGTATAATAATAAAAATCCATTAATTATCGTTTTAAAGTTGTTACTCGAAGTATGTATGAAATTTTGCTTGAGTTGAATTATCATCATATATATACATATTAATAGATGTTAATACTCATTATAAATAGATTATGGAAATTTAAATAATATTGACTATAAAAAAGACAATCTTTATTTTCATTTTTTTTTTTTTTTTTTTTTAAATTTTTGTTAATACTGCATATAAAACTGATATACCCATTTCACTCACATTTAACTGTAATATACAGTCATATACAGTTACAGTTGTCTTTGGTCTGCATTGGATCGGGCCTTTGCATGGGGCTTTTCAAGGTAGCCGTGGGCGACATACGGCATAAGCATTTTATTAGTCTGCTGTTTGTTTTGTTTAATTATGCTGTCATTAAGTTTGTCACACACACATGCACACACGCACACATACAGATGAGAGGCAAGGACAACTGTTAAACAAAAGCTTACATGTCTAAACGCAATTATTGCCGAGCTGCGAACGAAGAGCAACGGGCATCAGACAGTGGAACGTTGCCCTGGGACAATACGCTCTGCATGTTTTAGCTTATATGTATAGCTTTTTATGTGGCTGGATTGCGGTGGGCGTATGGGCGCGTGGGCGTGGCTGGCTGGCTATCCAGAGTCCGGGCTGTCGGACTGCCCCTCTGTCCGCTCTGCGACAACTCGCACAGAGTCCGTTGGCCACTCTCGGCCAGACATTTAATTTGCATTTTCCACTAATTGGCTTGCATACGGTACATTCTCGCTTCGCTTAATTAATTTAATTAGAAATATGTTTTGGCACAAAGAAAGACTCTACCATTTTCCCTCCCCCTCTCCCACCCCTCTCACTCACTCTGTCTCTGTGAGTGTGTGCGTGTGTGGTGCTCTGCAGAATGATAATTAGCAGAGTATTTGGTGGCTTATCAGTTTATACTCGAAAACTTTGACGCTAAATTTTCCTTGGAATATTAATGGCATATTAGTTATCGGCTTTTGGACAATAAAATATGCAATTACGAAATATTTATAAATATGTATAGAAATATATAAATGAAATAATATTATTATTCGCGGAATGTCAAGTTTCTATATCACTACTTAATATTGATTCAGATACGCCCAAAAAAAATATTGCTTTCATATATAAATTTACATTTGTTAATTCTAGTTTGCTTTTAAATATTGATCAGCTTGACAATATTTAATCACGCACTTCACTTGTGTTTCTCTTGGACTGATCATCATTTGAACAAATTTGAGTGAATCTGAATGTCATAAACAACTCCTAGTGCTTCGCTGTTCTGTATAGCTTCGAATTAACTATTATTTTCTATAGGGGACCTTTGAACTTTTGAATTTACTTACGTGGAACCACAGCTATTAAGCCCTCATCTACAATCATATTTTAATCAGGTGTTGTGAATTTCAAATTTACTCTGTGATCCATTGAATCGCGTGCATTTCCAGAATAAACTCCCAATGATTTCATTTGAAGTTTACCTTTATCCTTTATCAAAAGTTACTTTACTGAGCATACCGTACTCTCTTAATAAAGTCTTTCATATACATATACAAATCCGCTCAGTTTACCGAAGTCTGATCTATGGTTCTTTATGGTTTGATTAAAGTTTTCAGAGCCAACTTGGAGACGTCATGTCACTCTTCAATCGGAATCAACTGGAATCGCATGAAATCTCAAAGCAGCTCGAGCCAGGAACTCTTCTTTTCTATATACCTGTTAATTTTAATATGCAACTTTCTATTTCGTCCTCAGTTTCTTAATTTGATCAGCATTTTTATGAATGTTTAGAGATTTGAGATTTTCTACTTTCAAATCTTTTTTATTCAACTCTATAGTTATTTAGTTATTTTAGTTTATTTATTAGTTTATTAGTTATTTGCGGAAATGCCTATGAACTATATAACAATTATAGATCCCATTCGCAATTGTAGTTCAAGAGATTCGCTCACATTATTCTCCACTGCTTTCAACGAATCCTGCTATCTCAAGAGTAAAGCGTATGGCTTATTTTCTTGTTACTTACTTAACAATATTAATCAATCTTTTGGAGATTTATATATATATTTGCCCGCTGTTAATGGGAATGGTCTACCTGTCTGGGCTTCCTCACCTGCATTATCCAGGTACTCAGTCCTAGAGCTATGAGCTCTTGGTTCTATGTAAGTGCACCTCAGTTTCAGCGCTCTGGCGCTGGGAATGCTTTTATGTAGTTTTCTGACCTCAGGTCTAGCAGTGAATGGCCAGCCACAGAGACAGCGGAGAGGGGGTGGTGGGTGGGTGGGGATGCTGCCATGGCATCGCATCGCATGGCAATCGCGGCCATTAAGTCATTTTGTTTCCTGTAACAGTTCCGGTATCTTTTTAGCAACTCCGTGCCGTTAGTGGGGCTGCGCCAATGAGCTGCCCTGGAGCTCTGTAAATGCTTTTAAAGTAGGTGGCTGCTTGTTCAATTTATTGCACCACCAAATGCATAGTTGCTGTTGTTCGCTTTGTTGTCGTCATTGTTGTTGTTGTTGTTGCTGTTCGCCAGCCAACCAAATGCAACTGCCTTTTAAATTGCAGCACATAAAGTGTTGCCCAGAAATTAACTTGCACTCTTTATGCCCAGCACAGATAAAACTGTGCCAGAACTTAACATTAACGATACGCTTTGGCCATTTAAATGCTCGCAATGAATGTCCAAGCAGATAGCATTTCCTGCGCTCAAATATTTATTAATCATAATTTGTTCACTTGTATGAGGTAAACATGTTCAGCCTCAAGAGGAGCTTTAACTGGAGTAGAAAATGCAATTTAATGCGCTCGCTCATCTGGAGCTTTGAGAGCAGAGTGGCGCAGTGAAAGCGTGCTGGGCCCAAAACCTAGAGGTCTGAGGATCGAAACCTTTCTCTGCTATGGGGAAGAGTGTTTCTATATTATTTTTTATTTTGTTTTTAGAAAGGGTAGACGATAAAAGTTTAACCAACATTTATAGCAATGATATGACGTCTATCGGATGGTCACTTATAACCGGATTGTATTATGTTGTATTTGGACTAATTCAGTAAAGGATCCTGAACGAAAGGGATTTGTGCGAATCGCCACATTGAGCTGTTCATCAAAAATGCCTGAATATGTCTTTAATAATTGTAGAGAAAAGCAGATCCACTCAGCTTGAGAGTAATATTATAGTTCTGTATTTATATGTTCCCCATTAGTGTTACGGCTTAAGACATATATTTCTTACATACATACATATTCATGTACGTATTTGTGTTGTATCTTTGGAGTATGTGCTGTATGAGTATTATGCGAAACAATTCATTCTTGGGAATTCGGCGATCTTCCATTACGTAAATATTTATATTGTGGGATCTATCTCGAGTCCCTAGCGATCGTTATCCTAGTCGGCTTTGCTCTGTGCAAGGTTTTTGGCAGTAGATGTCGCTTCATTGTCACAATCGTATATAACATTCTCGTAGAAAGCAACTGACGAAAGTACACGAAAACGAAGTAAGAGAAGCTCGAAGCTCGTGCAATAAATAAACGAGTTTATGGATCATTTGTTTCATTGTCGAAATTTAAAAATCGACCACGCTCAGGTGCCCAAAAACGGTTGCTATGCAGCATAACGAGACAGAAATTCACAATCTCGACGTCTGTTACAATACGATAATAGATGGTTTATATATAAATGCAAATAATAACTACATAAAAATTTATGTGT